CCCAAATTAAATTTACACCAAAATTATTAATTAACATTACCTTTATTAATTTAAACAATGAGATTAAGTCAAACTGACAATTTGCACAGACGAATTATCAGAACGAATTTTCATATACTGTATTATCCTAGTATTGTTACACAATTTATTAACATACTCTTTTTTAGGTTCATTTAGGTTCTTTTGATAACGATAGCAGAAAATAGCTATCGAAAGGTCAACGTAATTTTTCAAATTAATTTCTCTACTAATTGGAATTTTTTCTTACAGCTTGAGCCTAAGTGTGTCGCAGGATACCCTCTAGGTGATAGTTCTTGATTACTTTTTCATAAATAGTTCGTTCTTATTGCAAAATAGGAGCACTATTTATCAATCTGTAATAAAAGACGTGAGGAAATTCCGTCTTCTTTAAAGACAAAAATTTTTGAGGCGAAATACCCAAAAAGAAGTTTGTAAAAAAAATAAATCCGCCTCAACAATATAGAACCTATCTATTACATTCCTACCTTCCATGCAAAGAAAACAGTGCACGCCAATGGTTTTTCTGCAAATAATTTTTTTTATTCACCGTTTACTAAACAACAAAAAAGCTCTTAAGGGGTTTTCTCCTAAAAGGCACAGTTTTTGATGAAAAAAATAAAAACCGTTGCATTGTGGGGAAATAAAACAGAACATGCCAATGGTTTTTTTTCTTTTTTGCTGAAATGAACAGTTTTGAATCAAAAAACACCTTTGTATGTTGACTGCTAAAACACACATTTCTTGTCTAGCTTCAAGCTGAGCTTCAAACGGAAGGAGGGCCGAGTCAGGGAGCACCGGGACAGTTTAGGGGGCGCTCTACCAGCCAAATTCATCAGGGCGACATCCGTCAAACCGCACACTTTAAACCCGAAATGGAACGAGAAGTTCCGATTGTAAGTACACAGAAACCTTGTGCAGTTTGGCTGCGCCCAACCCGGTAGGCTTGAGCTAAACAACTGGGTTTCCATAGAAACGCGCCTGGCAGTGTTTCGGGCCTTTAAAGGCCCCGGGCCGGCGACTGTCTGCACCGCGGTCAGAAAAACCATTCGATTTAATTCGTTGGAAAGTTGCGTCTTGCGATCGGGTTTCCAATTTGAAAATGATCCATCTGGCATGAGCAGATCGGGATCCGATTCGGTGGTGGTTTTTGCAGTCCAAGGCAATTGATGGGGAAAATGTCCGGTTTCGTCAGCCTTCTGATGCCTCTTTAATTGGTTTCGAGGCCGTTTTGATCGAGTTAAATTCTAATTCGAGCGTCGACTGTCGATTATTAAATCCCGCAGACAAACGTGCCGAATACTCACTAAACCGTCACAGTTTGCTGTAGGGAAAAGGGCCGGGGCGGCCCTCAAAACCCTTGAATTTAACTGTTTTCAGTGACATTGACGACATCAACAGCGATTCGCTCCACTTGGACATCTGGGATCATGATGACGAAAGTTCCGTGCTAGAAGCGGTGAGCAAGCTGAACGAGGTGCGAGGAGTGCGAGGTAGTTTCACTCATGTGCCAGTTTAAACTGGGAAAAAACCCGTGAATTTTCCAGGTTTGGGCAGGTTTTTCAAGCAAGTGTGCCAATCGGCCCGCCAAAGTTCCCAGGATGATTTCTTGGGCTGCGTCACGATTCCTCTGCAGGATATTCCATCCACCGGACTGGAGGGCTGGTTCAAGCTGGACGCCCGCTCCCAAAGAAGCACCGTCCAGGGAAGAATTCGGTAATCCTGATTATTCGCCGGTTAAAACAGCAATTTAATAATCGGGCTCAGTTCGGAACAACAATGCGTTCCAAGTCACTTGAAACTTTCCCAATTATCGCCTACCAAGCGGGGCTGTTGTTTTGTTCGGAACTGTGCTTGAACAGCGCGCGGTTTCCAGAGCAGCGTTTAGTTGTAAAAGCCGCTTCAAACTGGCACAAACATCCAGTAATCAAAACAATTCTGTTGGAGGTTTTGTCCGAAAAATTCCAGATTTCTGGTCCAAGATTTTTCTCAACTCTCACATTGCTGGGCAACACGGCAAGTTCGTCTTTGCCCTAGAATGGAAGTAGCAGGAAAAAATCAGGATAAAGGGCAATTTCAATGAAAATTTCCCCATGGTCTCACTCTACTGCCTGCTATATCCTGTGAAAATTGCAAGTCTGTGCTTGTCCCGGATAGGAAATGATCAATTTGTTTGAGGCAGCGCGCTTTTGACTGAAAACGTTCACTTTTCTAGGCGTGTTTAAGCAGCGACAAAAAATCAGGATCTAGTGAGATTTAAATGAAATTTTCCCCATTCTGTGATACAACTATCTGCTATTTCGTGCGAAAGTTCCAAGTTTGTCCTTACCCTAGATAGGAAATTGCGAATTTTTTTGGGACAGCACGCTTTTGGCAAAAACTCTTCATTTTTAGAGTCGCGATTAAACAGGCGATAAAAATCGTAATTTTTTGCGATTTCAATGAAAATTTCTCAGTTCTCGTAGTCAAGTGTGTGCGATTGCCGGAGAAATTTTCCAGTTGCTCTCTCTTCCGGACTGGAAAATATCAATTTTTTCGTAGAGCGCGCTTTTTGTTTTTACTCGCATTTAAGCAGCCAAAAAAAATCATACCTTTATGCGAATTCAATAAAAATTTGCTCATTATTTTACACAACTGTCTGCCATATCGTGTGAAATTTTCCAGTTTTTCCTTGTTTCCGATTGGAAATTACCATTTTTTTGGGAGAATGTGCTTTTGACAAAAAACGTCCTCTTTTAGGGCCGCGTTCAAGCAGCAGGAAACAATCAGAATTCTACGCGACTTCAGTGAAATTTTGTCTGTTCTCTGACTCAACTGTCTGCTGTATCCTGCAAAATTTGCAAGTTTGTTCTTGTCCCAGATTGGAAATTGCCCATTTTTCTTAATGCACTTTTGGCTGGAATCGTTTTGTCGGTTTTGTCCGAAAAATTCCAGATTTCTGGTCCAAGATTTTTTGGAAGTCGACAATTTTTCTCCGCTCTCACATTGCTGAGCAACACGGCAAGTTCGTCTTTGCCCCAGAATGGAAATAGCAGGAAAAAATATGAATAAAGGGCGATTCCAATGAAAATTTCCCCATGGTCTCACTCTACTGCCTGCTATATCCTGTGAAAATTTCAAGTCTGTGCTTGTCCCGGATAGGAAATGATCAATTTTTTTGAGGAAGCGCGCTTTTGGCTGAAAACGTTCATTTTTCTAGGCGTTTTTAAGCAGCGACAAAAAATCAGGATCTCGTGAGATTTTAATGACATTTTCACCATTCTGTGATACAACTATCTCCTATTTTGTGCGAAAGTTCCAAGTTTGTCCTTGCCCCAGATAGGAAATTGCGAATTTTTTTGGGACAGCACGCTTTTGGCAAAAACTCTTCATTTTTAGAGTCGCGATTAAACAGCCGATAAAAATCGTAATTTTTTGCGATTTCAATGAAAATTTCTCAGTTCTCGCAGTCAAGTGTATGCGATTGCCGGACAAATTTTCCAGTTGCTCTCTCTTCCGGACTGGAAAATACAAATTTTTTCGTAGAGCGCGCTTTTTGTTTTTACTCGCATTTAAGCAGCCAAAAAAAATTATACCTTTATGCGATTTCAATAAAAATTTGCCCATTATTTTACACAACTGTCTGCCATATCGTGCGAAATTTTCCAGTTTTTCCTTGTTCCCGATTGGAAATTACCATTTTTCTGGGAGAATGTGTTTTTGACAAAAAACGTCCGCTTTTAGAGCCGCGTTCAAGCAGCAGGAAAAAATCAGAATTCTACGCGATTTCAGTGAAATTGTCTCTGTTCTCTGACTCAACTGTCTGCTGTATCCTGCAAAATTTGCAAGTTTGTTCTTGACCCAGATTGAAAATTGCCCATTTTTGTGAGAGCGCACATTTGGCTGGAATCGTTTTGTCGGTTTTGTCCGAAAAATTCCAGATTTCTGGTCCAAGATTTTTTGGAAGTCGCCAATTTTTCCCAACTCTCACATTTCTGGGCAACACGGCAAGTTCGTCTTTGCCCCAGAATGGAAGTAGCAGGAAACAATCAGGATAAAGGGCGATTTTAATGAAAATTTCCCCATGGTATCACTCTACTGCCTGCTATATCCTGTGATAATTGCAAGTCTCTGCTTGTCCCGGATAGGAAATGATCAATTTTTTTGAGGCAGTGCGCTTTTGGCTGAAAACGTTCATTTTTCTAGGCGTGTTTAAGCAGCGACAAAAAATCAGGATCTCGTGAGATTTTAATGAAATTTTCACCATTCTGTGATACAACCATCTCCTATTTCGTGCGAAAGTTCCAAGCTTGTCCTTGCCCTAGACAGGAAATTGCGATTTTTTTTGGGACAGCACGCTTTTGGCAAAAACACTTCATTTTTAGAGTCGCGATTAAACAGCATATAAAAATCGGATTTTTTTGCGATTTCAATGAAAATTTCTCAGTTCTCGTAGTCAAATGTCTGCAATGGACGGAGAAATTTTCCAGTTGCTCTCTCATCCGGACTGGAAAATACCAATTTTTTCGTAGAACGCGCTTTTTGCTTATACTCGCATTTAAGCAGCCAAAAAAAATCATGCCTTTATGCGATTTCAATAAAAATTTGCCGATTATGTTACACAACTGTCTGCCATATCGTGCGAAATTTTCCAGTTTCTCCTTGTTCCCGATTGGAAATTACCACTTTTTTGGGAGAATGTGTTTTTGATAAAAAAAACTCTTTTAGAGCCGCGTTCAAGCAGCAGGAAAAAATCAGAATTCTACGCGATTTCAGTGAAATTTTCTCTGTTCTCTGACCCAACTGTCTGCTGTATCCTGCAAAATTTGCAAGTTTGTTCTTGTCTGAGATTGGAAAATGCCTATTTTTTGCGAGAGCGCACTTTTAGCTGGAATCGTTTCTTTTAATTCCCACGTTAACACAGTAGCGAAAATTGGGCTTTCATGGGATTTAAATAAAAATTGGTCCATTCTCACATTCAACTGTCTGCTATATTCTGCGAAATTTACAAGGCTTTCCTGGCTGCAGATTGGCAATTACGAATTTTTCCGCCGCAGGATGCGTTTATGGCAAGAAACGCTCACTTTTAGAGCCGCGTTCAAGCAAAAAATAGGGATTTTATGCTATTTCGATGAACATTTCTCTATTTCTGGCAAAATCTACAAGTTTTTCCCTTTCCGAATTCGATTCTATTGGTGGCTACGAATTTTTTAAGAACGTCGCACTTTGGTCTGAAGACGCTTATTTTCGGATCCGATCTTAAACAGCAGGAAAAATCAGGATCTGGTGCTGCAGCACTGAACATCTCTCAATTCTTAGATTCGCCTTTTTGCTACATTTGGCAAAACTTTCATGTTCATCCTTGGCTCTGATTAGTAGAGACACGTGTTTTAAATAGAGCGCGCGTTTAGATGGACGCGTACATTTTCAGGCTCGCGTTTAAACAGCGGGAAAAAATCAGGATTTTCTGCGGTGCCAGTATCAATTTCCCGATTCTCAGACTGAACTATCTGCTAAACATTGCAAAATTTTCAAGTTCGCACTTGATAGAGATTAGTATTTATGCATTTTTTAGGAAGAGCACGTTTTTGGCCCTACACGTTCATTTATAGTCGTTGCATTTGACCGCAAACGCTCAGTTTTGGGCGCGGGTTTAAACAGCAGGAAAAAATCAGAATCATGTGCGATATTGATGAAATTTTCCCATAGCAGCGATAAAAACGTGAACAAATTCGGTTCCTTCCGAACGAATTTTCGGGGGGCAAATTACCCAGCAAAAATTCCGAAAACCCGATTCATCTCAACCATACAAAACCGATGCAAAAGTTGAAGTTGCTCTTCTAATCGTGCAGCCTGAAAATGTGGCTGTCGACGAGGGAGAACCGCGGAATTGCAGACGACGACAACTGGACAGAGCTGACACAACACGAGAGCCTCTATGCCACTTTCGTGGATTACGAGCTGAAAAACTGGAACAAGGAGACGTGGTGTTGGAGTGGAGACTTGCCCGGACCTGCCCTGACCATCCTGCACCAGCACGCTGTCCAAGGTGGGGCTAAAGACGCCAACCTCCAAAACCTGCTGGAACTAGGGGCTACTAACTGAAATTTTCCAGGCGATTTAACCGAACTCCAAACGGCGCTCGCTCGCTTTGTAGCTGCGTCCCGAGTCTATCTGAAAACTCCCCTGGATCCGCGCTGGATGCTGCAGCTGCTCACAGACGTCGAGGACTCCTGGAACAACTTCACTCTGACTCGCGAGGAGGAAATGTGGCTGGCCGAGAAATACACAGCGATGCAAGGCAAGCATTCCAACCGCTTCCCGGCGGTTTTCCTTAAGTCGGCATGTTCCAGAGCGGTGGTTGCAACAGCTGCGCCATCATCGGCAACTCTTCCCCGCCCTCCATCCAGCCTCCCTTTCCCGGCTGGAGTATCTGCTGCGCTGTTTGGCCTATTTGTCCAACATGGTGAGCTGATTTCCGCATTCAAACCTCCTTGAGTTGAACCGAGCGTTGCTCTAGAAATCCTTCTGGAAATGCTGCCCGTTCAACAAAGAGATCAGGGGCGAGATCGTGGCGACGCTGCGCAAAGGCACCCCCGAATGGTTCAACGGGCTGCGCAATGTGATCATGAACCCGGAGGAATACGACACTTCCTTTGTGGACTTCTGCTCCGAAGTCTACGTGCAGCTGAAGCACGGCCTCAACCACTACCATCCATTATTCGAGGGGTGAATTTGGCCATTTCCGCATAATGCTGCCTTCCAACATCCAGGATTTTACAGCACCAACGGCATCCCGTACTTCAGTGTGGTGTTCAAGCAAATCGACAAACTAATGGCAGACGAAGTGATCAACTTCCTCAACCAGAATGAGCATCCAGATGCCGCCTACAGTCGGCTGATCTTCGCCATCTACATGGAGGTGAAGGATCTGGCCACTCTGCACCAGCATCTGCCATCCGGGGGCGACCACAAGCTGCTGCTGGTCAGGTGCCATGAATGGTTCGACCCCTCAGTCAGCCACTGGTTGAGTATTTGCAAAGGGAAGGCGTTGCAAAGGGTGAGGGTTGACAAGCTCCTGCTGTAGACGTACTCTCTGTAAGTGAGTGTGTGTCTTCCAGGTGAGAACGGCTGTAGATCTGCAGAAGCCCTGCGACGGCGACAAGCTGGTCAAGCACAGTTCCTCAGCTGTAGACGTGGTGGCCATGTTCTGCCAGTTGAGGGACTTTTGGCGGCTGCTCCAGTGGCCGAAAGCGCACTCTGTGTGTCTTCTGTCCCAGCTGTTGGACTGCATCTGCTCCGCTGCGCTGCTCTACGCAGACATCACCTACCAGGGCCTCATGGAGACTGGCTACTTCGACCGACTGGGCGATTTCAAAGTGTGCGACGAAATGTGCATCGCTGCCAATAATCTGGAATATGTGTATAAATTCGTTTCGCTGCTAGGTGAGGGGAACACCCAGTAGTGGAGAAAACCGCTTCTGTTGTGGCTTTTCCAGAGAACTACTTCGACTTTGTCACTCTGGAAACGGTGGCCTCAGAAATCCACTTTGCCACGCTGACCAACCAGCTGGACAGCACTCTGAGTCAGCTGCAGGTGCGCCAGCAATCTGCTCCCGCTAGGCATTTGGTGTGGCTGACTGTGGTTTTACAGGTGAGGGTGCTGGACATACTGAAGCGAGTGGGGCCTCAGATGCAGGAACGTCTTCGCAAGGCGATGTTTCACGTCGCATGGTCGCCGGACAGTTTGCCCACTCAGGAGGCTGTTGATCGCTTGTTTGAGTACTTGCACGCCCATCTGAAGACCCTCAATTACTTGCTGTTGCCTCAGAACTTCCAGAAGGTGCTTGGAGAGGTAAGCGGTCACCAGGATCACAACAATTAAATGGAATATCAGACTATGAAGGCTTTCACGGCCGGTTAAATCACATTTAGGAATGTTTTCCGGGCTTTGAAGCCGTGGTTTCTGGTCCAAGATTTTTTGGAAGTCGCCAATTTTTCTCAACTCTCACACTGCTGGGCAACACGGCAAGTGCGTCTTTGCCCCAGAATGGAAGTAGCAGGAAAAAATCAG